CTCTTTGGTCACCGGATCTATAAGACTCACACCATTCTTGTTGATGGCTATAAGAAGGTGTTCCGGAAAGTTTGTGTCGCCGTTTTGCTACAGTATTGCATACAATGTGTTATAACTTATTGTTTTTTTGTTCAAATAATACAGTATTTAACCGTACCTTCACTTCGAAAAAGGCTGATCCAAATGTCGGCCATTTATATACAAACTTGAGGAATGAAATTTTAGCGTTTTCGCAGTTCACGCCATTCTCTTGATTGTGTGCAGTTATAATTGCCTGCAAATAACACATTCATGTGATATTTGAATTACCCTAATATTTCAATCTCTATTCAAACCTTTTTCCATTCATTGGGATTCTGTATTTTAATCACATCTATGGGTATTAATTCGTGTAATAGATTCCTATTAAATAAATTAATAATTATTTAATAAATGTATAAATTGCTCAATGTATGTAAAACATACGGAATGGCTTGTAATTCAGCTTTGCTTTCGCCGAACCTAACTCTAAGTATAAGTGCCGCTAATTTTACGGCATCTTCTTTAGTGCACTTATGATATCCTCTTAAAAGTTTTGGTAATTCCTTCAAAAACACCATTCAATTAATAAACTGCAAAAAGTATTAAATATAATGTATAAAACCTGATGGTAATGGAATATAAGGTCTGCATTTCTATCTTTTCCCGGAACAGTATTTGTCCACAACTTCTTCATGAAGAACACCTGATAAGTAAACTGAGGCACAGATCCTAATCATCAAGAAATGAGAATTTATAGATTAGAAAAATGTATATTTTGATAGTCTATGTTTCGGACCATCTCTGGAAGGCCGGGCTTTTCTAATCCAATCGGTTAGATGTCTAACAAAATCAAAGAAGAAGTCGGCTTCGGGAACACTAATCACTTTATCGGCTATTTTGACAAAAAGACTAAAGCCTTCAGCAGTTCGTAGACTCAGACGCTGTGCAATATCCAGACAAAAGTCTTTAGCTCTGGTACTCGAGTCCACTTCAAATGCCTGTTAAATAATAAGCAAATCAATTGTTATATAGCATTTCATTGAATGAATGAGTAATAATGAGTAATACTTCGTCGGTATCGTCAGGAAAGTACACTTTATGGAAGATTTGAGTTGTTTTATGTTGAATGGCCTCAACCTCTACCAAATGCGGCGGATATTTTCTCTGACCGTTCCTAAAGATAATTGTTTTCAAAGTTTAAAATATTGAAAATAATCCGCAATTGAGATATTAATAATTGTTTATTAATAACGAGTTTATACCTCAATGTCTTATGCAATCGTTGCAATGAATCAATAGCTATGGGATGTCTTCGTGTCCTTAAAAAGAGTGTCAATTCTCTGAGTAGTGTCTGACTCGGAGCGAAGAGACCACTTGACAACCACATCAGTTCCCAACCCCTCTCTTCGCTTAATCTATAAAATGTATTTCAGATGTAATTTAACATAACATTCATACAAAACATATACTTCTTAATTAATTTGCAAGAAATACAAAATATGTTAATTTTCTGACCTATTTTTATTGTCAGTCAATTGCTTCATAATCTGACAATAGATCTCATCCCTTAAGATATCGAATTTGAGCGGCCCTTCAAAGATCTGATCCGTTAAATCATTGCCACTTCGGGTACGTCTGGACGGAAGGTCTCCCATATANATCTAACCGATTGGATTAGAAAAGCCCGGCCTTCCAGAGATGGTCCGAAACATAGACTATCAAAATATACATTTTTCTAATCTATAAATTCTCATTTCTTGATGATTAGGATCTGTGCCTCAGTTTACTTATCAGGTGTTCTTCATGAAGAAGTTGTGGACAAATACTGTTCCGGGAAAAGATAGAAATGCAGACCTTATATTCCATTACCATCAGGTTTTATACATTATATTTAATACTTTTTGCAGTTTATTAATTGAATGGTGTTTTTGAAGGAATTACCAAAACTTTTAAGAGGATATCATAAGTGCACTAAAGAAGATGCCGTAAAATTAGCGGCACTTATACTTAGAGTTAGGTTCGGCGAAAGCAAAGCTGAATTACAAGCCATTCCGTATGTTTTACATACATTGAGCAATTTATACATTTATTAAATAATTATTAATTTATTTAATAGGAATCTATTACACGAATTAATACCCATAGATGTGATTAAAATACAGAATCCCAATGAATGGAAAAAGGTTTGAATAGAGATTGAAATATTAGGGTAATTCAAATATCACATGAATGTGTTATTTGCAGGCAATTATAACTGCACACAATCAAGAGAATGGCGTGAACTGCGAAAACGCTAAAATTTCATTCCTCAAGTTTGTATATAAATGGCCGACATTTGGATCAGCCTTTTTCGAAGTGAAGGTACGGTTAAATACTGTATTATTTGAACAAAAAAACAATAAGTTATAACACATTGTATGCAATACTGTAGCAAAACGGCGACACAAACTTTCCGGAACACCTTCTTATAGCCATCAACAAGAATGGTGTGAGTCTTATAGATCCGGTGACCAAAGAGATTCTTGTGACCCATCCATTCACGAGGATATCTAACTGGAGTAGTGGTAACACATACTTTCATATGACAATCGGTAATCTGGTTCGCGGCAGTAAACTATTGTGCGAAACACCACTCGTAAGCATTTTATTCAAATCCACTTCTATTCAAATAGTTTTAAATTTATTTAATTTTTCTTAATTAAAGGGCTATAAAATGGATGATTTGTTGACATCGTATATAAGTCTAATGTTAAGCAATATTAACAAACAAAAAGTGTTAACGAATACAAGGATTAAATGAATTCAAAATTGTTCACAACTGTTGTCTCAATTCTAATCACAAAGTGATATATTTTCTTATTTATTTCTATTCTTAATATTTGTCTAATGATTGAATGGAGGGTTAGATATATTTATTAATAATTTATTAAATAAATACAATTTTATTTGTAAAATGTTTGCTTTTATTAAAATAATTTACGATAAACTATTTAATTAATTACATAGTTATCATGAATACAGTAATGATAGTGTAGTATTAATGATTGCTGGATATCTTAATCACTGATTGTGAACATTAATTCACTTTTTAGTTAATTCTCACTTGTCAGAAATGTTTTTGTATTAATTAATCTAAAGAATAGGTAATGAAAATATGAACTAATATTTGAACATTTATAATATAAATGTATACATTTTTTATCAACCATTGTATGAAGAAATCTACTGTGTTCCTAAACTAAACAGGTAGTTTTTACATCAAATATTCTAAACAATGTAAATTTAGCCAAATTGTTTAAAATGCAGAGAATGTTGCTAATTGCTATTATATTTGCCATTATATATACAATTTTCATACATTTGAATTCACAGCTATGAGTGTTGGATGAGAAGGTAGAGTATAGGCCACTACCGGTTTGAATGAGTTGAACGGCTCACACCTCACACGTGTACCACTTTTCAAATGTCACGTCTAAATAGGGCCTCAATTCTAATACCTGACACCTAT